ATATACATTGTCAATAAATATATTGCACTATAACCTAAATATATTATTTTACATTATGACTAGAGTATTTTGGTACGTTTTAATGTCTACAAATCAAATTAATTTTAATAAAATTATCAACAAATTAAAATATTTTAACAAAATAAGTGTGTAAAACGTAAGAAACAAAACGAGATCAAATGAAATTCTAGTTATTTTAAAAAACATAATATATAAATTTATATTATGGTGTTTATTATTCCATAATATATTTTTAAATGTGTTTCGAAAGTACAGCAGTTCGATATTTTTTGATTTTTCCTCATCACTTATTAAACTGCATGTTGTAATAAGAGATAAAGTTATTTTTGTAACAGATTTCTTTAAAATAATAAATTTTATTTATTAATGTTAACACATATAAATATAATAATAGCAAGTTGTATAGAGTACAAATTTAGAAGATAAATTTTTACGCTACTTTATTTATTATGAGTATTTGAACTCTGAACGTGTATATCGTATTGTAAATATAGATTGACTCGAAAAATCGTTAAAAAATTAAATTACCCGCCAAAATATTTTTGCAATAGTTATAGTTAAATGCTTGCCATTCATTAAAAAGCGTAATAAAATGAAAATAAAATTTCCATTCTATTATGCTTATAAATTACGCTAATAAAAGACAGGGCGATTCAAGTGATGCTGATACCATGCCCAATTTCTTGACTCGTAGGCAGTTCATAAACGTTCATTGCTGGACACATAATAATATGAAACTAAAGTGACGTTATGTTTTTGATTGGATTTTGCGTCACTTGAAATATACTCAGCGCTCCGTACGTCTTTCTTTCTTTGTTGGTCTGAGGTTTCACATGAAACTATTTAGAAGGAGCTTTTTGTAACATAATCTATTTATTAATGGCAAGCATTTACACACACTACTAATCTAAGCAAGAATGTGAGAGTACGTAACTCTATAAATAAATGATCGATAGAATTCGGACTTTTCACAGATAAGCTTCAAAAGATACTCGTAACAGTTTAGTCATTGAATATATTTAACATTAAGTAAAGTCGCAAATTACGTGGGACTACGCAGCGTTGTTAGTTAAGACAATGAGCTTTCCATCATTTTGTTTGAAATATTTCGATTATTAACCTTTAGGCACGTTCAGGCCTTGGCGATCGAGTCCAGCTTCTTTGTGAGGATCTGCTGCTATAGTAGCTCACTGTGCTAGGCGAGGAAGGCGTTGGTCTTCGGTACGGTATAGGTCGTTTACGAGCGCTGTTCAAATTGTTAATGAGGTTAGTAGACGTGCAAGGATATTAGTACATGTTATAGTTGAAGAAATGTCATTAAACGTGCAAGTTATTTTTGAAAAATTTAAAGTAGAAACATAAAATACAACAGGCATGAGTATGATTCCTTTCTCGATATATTTTTGTTTGTTTTTACACAATATTACAGGTTAATATTAAAAATCTCCCAAACATGTTTAGAATTTTGTTGGTTACTTTTAAAATATGGTACTTAATGGTGAATATTCGATTTTTTTTGGAAGTAATATGAAAATAAATCCATAAAAACAATTTTAACTGTTTTAATATATAAAAGGAATATGAAAAATCAAATCAATTTAACATTTGTTATATTAAAAGACTACTGTAACAAGGCATTTATATCTTTAATACAAGCAAAACGCTTTTGAAGTGAAACTTCTTTGCGCGCGATGAGGGTAACTTTTCAAGGCCGCGTCACGATAATAATAATATGAGCGTCAGATTTTAAAGGAGACAATTTATTCCTTATAATCTATAGATTGCAATAGTATTATAGTTTAACTTCTGACATGTGTACTCTTTAAACACGGTGTTTTTTTATTACTTTTAGGCATAAAGGATTGTACCCATAAAGTCTAGTCTGACGTGCACGCGTATTTCTTTTATATGATGAGGTAAGACACAAAAAAGACTAAGTGCCTAATAAAAAAAATTGGATTTGGCATCGACTGATTAGGTGATGTGATCACACTCCCCTTCCCTATCCTTTTTACCAGTTTAGATTTAAACTATCGTGACAGTAGATGGCATTGCATCAGTGACTGAGAACATGTGTAATTATATTATCGAAAAAACGTGTAATGTAAAAACTAAATCGCGCATCCACATCAGGTTTCTTATGAAACTTAAGAAATCAGCCATATAAACATTTCAAATGATACCAGTGGCTTCCGTAGATGAAGCTTGTCTTGGGCACGTGTTAAACACACGGCATATGGCATAAACGGTTTTCATTGAGAAATAAAAGTTCAAGGCAATGTCGATCGTCTTCTTAGTCACTAAGGGATTTCTAATGATTAAATGGTTTCAGATTTATTTTATTGGGCGGTAAGATTGTTACTCAGTGTTAACGAAATATATGTGCTATAGTAGCCATATAATATCACGACAAATCTTTGAAGCAGTTTCTGACCAGCAAAAACATTCCCGTGATGGAGTATCTCCGTTATTCAATTTTTTATTTCCTAAAGTTAAAACTTGTAAAATAAAAGTAACAAATTTTATTTCAGGTACAGATGTTCAAATATAACGAACTTTATTGGAAGTCTAATTTTTTTTGTGCCACATATCAAAATCTATTTCAAGCCATTATATAATCGATAGCACAGGTGCAAGACCTCTCTCGTTCGAAAATTTTTGTTTTTTGTTTTTCAATTGCATGTTATAAAGGTCAAGAATTTTCTAGCAAATACTTTTTAACTAGCTATTTCTAAATAATTGCGAGTGTTGCAATGGAAATCTTTGTATAAATAGCAGTTTTGAAGAAATACCAATTTCATAATAAAAGAAGCAAAAATTTCCATCACATTTCTAGTGAAACCTTTCATAAAAAATATCGAGTAAGTACCACGCTTTGAAAAATATGCAAAAAGTTTTTATATAGCTTACCTTAGTTTTGTAGTGATAATGCCAAACTAGCTTTATAGAATTGAAAAAAAAAATTATTAAATTTCAGTGTTTTCTACAAGGTGTCTCATTAAGGATGCATCATAGTACTAACTAGCATGCAAAATAAAAAATAAATAAAAAAAAACAAATAAATTACTTCTCAATAAACTTTAATGTGATAAAACAAACGGATTAATATAGTGGAAACATAAAAACTGAAATAAATGTCCGTTGGAATAAAGCAACACTGTATACGTCTGACATCAATGTGAAGTATTTCCTTATTATGTAAATTATTGAAAAAATCATTTTTTCATTTTGACTCCATTCACCTTCTTCTTCTATATTTGTATCTGTTTGGTTCGTATGTAAGATCTATTATGGGTGCGCTATGGAGAAAAAAATATTACATTAATAAATTATTTAAACTTTCTCAATCGAACCCTTGTAACATTAATAAGAAAAACAAAAAATCACTAAGTAACACAGTATGAAGTAGCACACCCCAGTTAGTACAATAATCTTGCATGTTAAAATTTTGTGATGGAAAATGAATATACATGAAAATGAAATATTTAGTCATAAAAGATGGAAAATACTTTTAAAGATCCACTGAATTGAATGAATGAAGACAAGTTAGAGCAGAATTCATTTTGAATATTGTTTTACAAGAGGAAAACTAAAAAAAGAGCTGGCAGTTTTTAAAGTACACATTTTCATTAAAGTAGTATATTATTCAAAGTGTTTATTTATTGACGTTGTTTGACTTTGAAATTCACTATTGGCCGTGTCGGCGGGAAAAAGATATTTATTTTAATTATTTAGATTTACACTTAAATAATTCACAAAATCAAAACTTACAGCTGACTGTATATGAGTTGAAATAAGAATTATATAAATTACAAAGGAATTTATGAAATTCAGGATCATACATGAAATAATAAATAGGTAATGTGAGTGCAAGAGCAACCAAAAAAGGATTTTTAATTCCAAACATTAGATTTAAAATGCAATAATAAACAAGGTGTGAAATATTTAGCAATATATTAAAACAAGTCTTATAAGAACAATAATACAATACATATAATTAACTTAAACCAAAACTAAACTAGCACAGTCACTTCACTAATCGGAGCTACTACTTGTGTCTTCGGAACTCGTGCTATAATTTCGTGATTTTTTTCTACAAAAGAGAAAACGACAAATATTGGATAAGATAGCAGAAAACAAAACCACCATATCAGGGCACATTTATTTTGGTATATGCCATGGTATGGTCAGTGCAAAAAAATATTTAAAGCTAAAAGTAAAACAAAATTAGCATAAAGAAGCGGCACACGAAAATGTTAAAACATATTACAACACACTTGAAACAATAACGACATTTATTTGATAATATTGTATGATAAATATTTTGTAACGAGTTACTAGTAGAATAATAATTTCATAAAAACTCCGATTTTGATACAAATGGAATATCATTATTGTTTCAGTAATTACCCTATTTACTCCTATACAGTGCTTTAACCTAAGTCCTTCGTAATTTAATTTAAAAAAATAAATGTATAGCTATTGATTTCATAACATTAGAATGAATATGTGAAAAACACCTTATCCGATCCGAAAGTAAAAAAATGAAAAGAATATAAAAATGTTGTAACACATGTTTTTTTTTCTAACAATTTACTTAAAAATTTGCTCTTTTAAAATCTCGCAACACCGTCGTGACAACACAAATGATTAAATGAGTGAAGCCTGGGGCCAACCGTTTTGTTATCCGAGGGCCGTCTATGCCCCATGTGTTGCCATATAATTAACTTTCATTTTATTTTTGCGGGGTAATTTTTTGTTCATTCTCTGATATGGATTTCATGAGCAGAATCATATCACGAAAACAGAATCGTGTCTGTAAAAGTACCCTCACGGATCGGACAGGGTTTTATTTAAATTCAGAGATAAAAATTTTATAAAATTTTATTAAAATTCATTGACGGATTAAAAAAAACTTGACAGAAAGGCATCAAAAAAGTATTTAAAAAAAACCAGGCCTAGAACTCTAAAAAATGTATTTAAAATGGAGCTAAATCCGTTGCATTAAGACGTAAAGCACTGTAGGTGCGGAGCGTGGGTGCCGCGTACCTCGTGATGCGCCTCCTATCAAGGAAACTGGGCGAGCCGGCGCGGCGCGGGATGGAGGGCGAGCGCGAGCGCGTGCGGCCGCGCGTGGCGCTCGATCTACGGTAATCGGCGTACACGCCCGTCATTGTTCTGTGCGTTACGAGTTTGTTGTTTGTGGCATGCATTGCGTTCGATTTTTGAATTTGCGGTTTCGGTTTTTTATTTTTTTATTTTCGTTGCGGAAAACAGAATTTGCGTTAGTTGGAATTTTAAATGAAGATAAAATATGTTCGTATCGGTGAGTTTTTTCGATAATACAAGTCGCAAAGACGTGTTTTATTCACATTCATTAAATTATCTTTGTTTAATATAATGTTTTCATAATTAATATTTAGTACTGTATTCGTACTTCGTAGGTAATTATAAATATGATTAATACACTCGATGAGAAATAGTTTAATGTTAATTGAAAAAACTCACCGAAAAACAAATTCAAGAATAAACTGTAATTTATATTATTACAATTACCTAGATGATCGCGTGGATCTGGAAGAGCTACGTGAAGTTCGAGACGAACTTCTACTGCTGTAAGAACTGGAACGACTTGATCGTGATCGCCTGCAAAATTGAACATCTTTATTTCATCATTATTTATAAATTTTATCAACAGATTTATAAGCAATCTACTTTTGAACAAAAATTACAAAATAATTTTATCCTTGTCTTTTGTTCGTTTGTTTTTGAAAATAAAATAAACGTACGCTGCTTCAGTACTTGTCAGCTTCTGCTTCAGTAGGTGTCGAAAGAGGCGGCTATGGGAGGTGTCAGAATGTTCTTATTGCATCCAATAAACAACGGTATAACAATCCCTTTACACCAAGCGTAAAATATTCAGACTGGCGATGGGGAGACACCTATAACCAACTTTGCACTTTTGCGGGCTACTGATAAAGAAGCAAAATTGATCTTAAACACAAAACCCCACCCACCTAGTAGATTCCAGAGATGATTTGGAAATGATTATTAAAAATAAGTTATAAAGCATTTATTTTACAACTCATTTTTGTCCCATACGTGGTTTGGATTCTTGGGGCGTATGTATATGTAAGTAATCCATAAAGGTAAGAGTGAAAATAAATGTCGACTAACGATATGCGAGTATGTCCTTACCTTGAAGAAGAATAAGACCGGGACCTTGAACGCGACGATCTTGATCGCGAACGTGATCTTGATCGAGACCGTGACGATTTTCCTCGAGAACGGGATTTATCACGGGAATTGGATTTGTCTCGGGAGTGAGATTTGCCTCTAGAATGCGATTTGTCCCGAGAGAGCGATTTCGCCCGCGAATGAGATTTCTCCCGAGAACGGGATTTGTCACGAGAGCGAGATTTCTTACGGGATCGTGATCTTTCGCGCGACCTGGACTTTGATCGTGAACGTGAACGAGAACGACGCGACGAGGATCTCGACCAACTTCGGGATCTACTTCTCCCTCTCTTTAGTTCTGGAGAACTTTCTATGTTTACTGGACTCTTTTCCTTCACTGGGCTGGACTTCTCCGGGCTTTTATGATTCTGTTGTAGTGATTTTTCTATGGTCTTTTCTGCTAAGGTACTAATTTTCCTCGTCCTTTCTTCCACTAATTTCACATCGCTACTTGCTTGCGATGTAGAAGCATTAGCATCGTCAGTCCTCTTTTTCTCTATAGAAGCTTTGGCCATTTGGGCTAGTTTCTCTTTTAACCTGGTTAATTCTTTGATGTCTAACTCGTCCTGTCTAGCCCTTTCATCTAACCTTAAGAAGTCATCTTCAGAGTCTTCGTTCTCGCTGGATGAACTTCTCATGCAAACAGCCTTGGGTTTATAGTTTTCAACAATCTCTTTATTCTTCTTTCTTTTAGGTTGTAAGTCTGATGGAGATTTGATGTATTTACGTTTGTCTTTTTCTGGTAGTGTTTCAATTATATCTCTGTATCGTTCGGGACTCCGCCTTGCCGGGGAATAACTTAGGCTCGATGTGCTTCTGCTTCTTTGCTTCGAATGCGATCTCGATCGGTCCTTGTGAGAATCTCTACGATCTTTTTCGCGTTTATCTCTGTTGTCTATCTTTGGAGACGAAGAACGTCTTTCTTGCAGTTTTCTACCTTTTCGCATTGGTGTGTTACTTTTTTCTTTCCCCTTCATACTGCTCTTTTTGGGTGGTGATGGTGACCTAGACCTACTTTGATTATTATGGCTGTGCCTTTCATCGGGAGTTGGAGACTTTCTCTTAGACCGGCTGTTACCACGTTTGTCTACGGGTTTGGACAGTGCTTTATATTTATCTTCTCTACTTTTCGGTGGTGGTGAAGACTGTTTTCTAGGTGGGGAAGATTCATGCCTTCGTGATGGTGATCTATCGCGCCTTCTTGGTGATGATTCGTGTTTTCGGTGTAGAGAAGTACCGCGCTTTCTTGGCGGCGACGAATCTCGTCTTCTGAACGGTGATGAACCACGCCTTCGTGGTGACGAAGAATCATCCCTGTTTAGCGGTAACGAATTGCGTCCTCTTACTGGCGACGAATCGCGCCTTCTTAGAGGCGACGAATCGCGCTTTCTTAGAGGCGACAAATCGCGCCTTAGAGGCGACGAATCGCGACTTCTTAGAGGCGACAAATCACGCCTTACAGGCGACGAATCGCGCCTTCTTAGAGGCGACAAATCACGCCTTACAGGCGACGAATCGCGCCTTCTTAGAGGCGACAAATCGCGCCTTAGCGGTGAGGAATCGCGCCTTCTTATCGGCGAATCGCGTCTTTTACTCGGTGATTCATCGCGTTTTCTTGAGTGCGACGAACCACGTCTTCTTGGTTGTGGCGAATCGCGTCTCAACGGTGACGAATTATACCTTTTTGGTGATGGGGAACTTTGTCTTTTTACTGATGACGAATCATGTCTTCTACGTACAGGCGATGGACTAATTCTGCTCTTTTCTCTAACGAGCGGCGACACACTTCTATCTTTATAATATCGAAGTTTACTTTGCACTACTTTCTCTGGCCTTTGTGTAGGTGGCGACTCTGGTTCCGACTCCAATGAGGATGATCGTTTTGCGGATTTAAAATTTTTGTAATATCGTTCTGGCTCTTTAGATACAGGCTTTATTCTCTTATCTTTATTTTGTGGAGGATCATAGCATTCAGGGGATGAATCTCGTTGGACTCTAGGGCTAGCCCTAGTTTTCTTGGTCCTCAGCTGTTCCTCGTAACTGTCTCTATGTCTTGATGGTTCTCGTCTGTCGTTATATTTCTTACTGTTATATATTTCATCTTTATTTCTTCCGATACTGTCTTCCTGTCTTCTATTATTTCTGTACTCTCGCGATTTACTTCTCCGGTGCAACTTGATTTCGTCTCGAGAATCCTCCCTTCGGAGTCTGTCACTATCGTGATGAGCGTATTTATGATACGCGTCATTTCTTCGGTTCTCAATGGAAGGACTTTTTCTCTTCCTTTTAGAAGGCGGCGGGGACTCGCTAATTTCTCTTTGGTATTGTTTTTTATCTCTTTTATCCACTTTGTTTCTAGGGGTTGGTTCTTCATCAGAATCTGAAACAGATTTTGGACGATCGCGTTTTGATGGTTTAGCTCTTTCGGTATTGTCTCGAGAGGGTTCGCGCTTTTTGTTAGCAATTTTGGTGACGTGGGATTTTTGTCTGTATTCCGGTGATTGCCTTCGGTTTTCATTAGACAAGCTGCGGTCTTCGCGCCTTCTTGATTCATCAGCTCTTGAATTCCTAGTCGCTTCCGGGTAACGACTGTGTGATCGTGTTTCATCGCGTTCGCTTTCTTTCCTTTTACCCTTTGCATTGTCCATTTTGAGCTCCTTTCTGCGTTCTTTGTGTCCATCTTTCGCTTCATTTACTGGAGAACTGAAATTTATTTTAGCTTTTATTAGTTTTTATTTACAATAATTGATACAGAATTTTTTACTCTTGCTAAGAAAATTTTAAGATATTAAAATTTAAGAAAAAAGATTACAATCAAATTTGATTCGATTTGAAAGATTATTTAAGTAAAAAGTAATTTCACATATTTCAAAATATAATACAAAGAGTGAAGTGCATGTATATTAAAAAAAAAAAGAATTAATAATTTATTTAAAAAAAACATACCTCGCGCGGCTGGATCGCTCACTGCTTGCTCGACGTCGGACACTCGACTTCTTCTGTCAAAGTTTAATAAAAATAATTTTAATAAATCTTAAAATAGAGTTTCATCCGTAACACCAGTGCCAATAAAAGAAAACTAAGTGGATATGTTATTTAAAAGTAACTTTTAAACTAAAATTGATGAAATCCTTTCAAGCCTGATTTGAAAAACATCGGCCGAAGAATTTCAACACGTTCAACAACAAAATTATAAATATACCACTGTACCCATGCATTTCTCTATACGGAGACATTGATGAAAAAATCAATTAGGCAATAAATTAATCGACTATAAATTACAAACAAAAACAATAACAAGAAGCTAGTCACAAAAGCAATTTTAATTATATCATCGAGGAATAAATTTTAATGTGTTTAATTTAAAGAATGTTACATTTATCATCCATAACATTCTCAATGAACTGAGAAAAATATAACTGATTTGGCACCAGTGCTTGGCTTACAAATATATGCTAAGTTAATGACGCAATAAAGAGTTCAAATTTAATCTAATACATAATATATACAAGTATTACACAAAATCAAATGTAAAGTAACACTTCTGGGACGTACCTTATATAACAAACGGTGGTGGTATTTTCTACCATTTAAACATGTGGAGCATCCTTAATAAGTTTTGAGTAAACGAGAAGAGGGAGAATGTTATGGATTAGTTACATTTTGTTAAATAATTCTGGATATTAATACTAAATTTACGTTAGAAAAACATGCATTACGTTAGAAAAACAAGTTGAACAGTCCATTTTACTATGATTATATTTTTTCAAGGAAAAATTTGACAATAATACTTCTGTAAAATTATATGTTAACAGCACATTTTTCTAACGCACGAAGTCATCGCGTCTTAATAGTAATGCAAAACCACCATCTGTTGTAAGGACTACGAAACACCATGCAAGTAAATGACTGTGCACACGTAAGACCCTGACAAATAGCCCATTTAAATATGCGCTTCGTTATTACACTATCTCAGAGTTAGTCGCAAATGTTAAACTTCTATGATGCAATATATAAAGTTTAACACGGACATTTTTTAGTATTCACCTAACATAGTGTTTTTACTGAGTGTTATTGTTTTGTGATATACTTACAGTATACGTTATTTCTTCAGATAAAGATGGCTATCCTATGAAATGATGCACAGTTAAACAGATAATTTTTACTGGCTATTTCTTGTATTTACAACAAAATAAAAAATAAATAAATAAAAGGAAGTTCACCACACAAAGAAACAGGACAACCCCATATAGAAACAATGAGCAAACTATTGAGTAATCAAACTCACAGGTAATGACATAAATTTATACTAAACAAATCAAGTGACATCGATAATTCTTTAAAAAGTGGCAACAGCAAAGAAAAGAGCGATTGAATTAAGTTACTATTTCCTTTTTGTATTTAAATCCCATATTTTTGTAATAGTAAGTATAAAAGATATATGTGTCAAGAAGTAATAAATGATTTTCTTTAAGCTAATTTGTTTGTAAATTTTTATGTAATGTAAAGAAAATAAAGCATGTGCTATTTCAGAATTTCAGCTATATAAATGATGACTACCCCTTCTATACATCTATTTCAGTCAAGACTTAAGGAAGATATAATAAGGAAGGGTTGTGAAGGGTCAGTTTTAAATAAAAATCCCCAATGAATTCAATGTAGAAAACAAAGTGTGCAAAGGCCCTTATCCGTTTAAGGTCCCCAAGGAACATCACAAAAATGTCACATAATTCTGAAAATCAAAGATCACACATTTTAACATGTCCGAGAAATTAAAATATTTCAATTCTAAATTTTAAAATGTTATAATAAACCAACAACATGTATTAGGTTGTGACTTGTGAGGGTGCATTTATTCGTACGACATTCAGTCGTCGACGTGACCGGCATATAGTCAAGGACACAACAAAATAAAGCTATTTCACAAAGAAGTCAGTATTTGATTGCATTTTATTCAGTGATTCATAAAAGTTGGCAGGAAAATGTCCTGTTACTCTCTGTACGTAAATATCTTATCCAACGCCACCGTTAGATTTTTTTTCTCTTATAGATGGCAACACAGCAAAAGCAGAAACAACAGAAATGATTATATGTTACAAAAAACTACTGTACGCGACTACTAGGTACATAATGAATAAAAATTTTACGCAATTTCGCGTTCGAAAAATCGCGTTTAATTTTAGTTATTTTTATTTTGATCCGATCTACTCATAACGATCTTACTATACTTAGTCTGGTAGAGGAATGCTTAGGTTTGAATTTTATTTTATTAATTCCAGGATCCTAGCTGCTTTCTATTGAAATTTGGATAATTTTTAAAATTATTAATAGCCTTGCGAATTATACTTGATAGGTATCGTATTTTTTGCAAGAACATATTTGTGTGTGTAAAAATATGATGTATTGGTGGGGGGCGTATAGATAGAATAAACAGACGTACAGGGCGTATACAGAAAACAGTACAGAATAGAGAAGTCAGTATTTACAAATAAAAATCAACAGTACCTTACGTTTTCAAAAAGCAAAAACATTATTACTTGATTTGAAGACTACACTAGGCAACGAGGTCATCGGTCACACCGACGACTGAATGTTGTTCGTCTAAAAGCGTTCTAAAAGAACCTTCGACGTTGAAACAATCTTTGTGAAATTCCCGTTCCCATTTTTTAAATAAGTCTAATTTGATATCTAAATTTTGTGACATGTGAAAAGAGAATATGATAAACAACTAAAATCATAATTACCTTTTTCTTTTTCTTCTGCTTTTCATCCTCAGTGCTAGCGGAATCACTGTCTTGGCCGGCATCGGAACTGCCCGAGCTGTCGGAATTTGGAGACTTCGAGCGTTTCTTCTTCTTCTTGCTGGTTTCTTGTCTATTGAAATGGACACAATCTTGAATAATCATAAGAAACCAACTTTCATCTATAGAAATTCAATTTTTTTTGGACTTTGTGCAGTTTCAGATGAAATTGTTGGGGTATTTTGTTGGGGTATTTTTGTTGGAACATCGTTTAGTAAGGATAATTAAAAATCAATACAAGTGAATTAATTAAGCTATATTACAGTAAGTATAAGTTTTACAATAAATAAATACATACAATAAGTGGACACAATTTACACTAAGATAAACTTATATCTAGGTAGGATTTTGGTCGAGCACTGGCTTATATTAAGTTAAAAAAAAAACATTGAAAAAATCACTGCGAAAAGTTATAACATCCTAATTTAACTGCCGTCTTTGTTAGAATTTAATGATAACCATAAATAATATTCAAAAGAATTATGATTAACATTTCGGCCAAATGAAATTACTTTGTAAGTATTCGAAAATGACAGTTTAAAGATAGTGTATGGAATTATAATGAATTGACGTCATAACTTTTATCTCTATATATAGAAATCAATTGCTGTCTGTTTGTTAGTCACTAAACACTAAAACTCAAAAAAAACCCTCGACCGATTTTATTGAAAATTTTTGTGTGTTTTTGTTTGAAAGAGTCCCTAAATGGTTTAGATTCACATCTGGAGGCAGGCAGCGATGTTGTCGAGATTTTTGTCGGGGCGGATCTCTAGTATTCAAATAACAATCTTATCTTTAGGTAGTGTGTATTATCAAAAACTAAATATTTAACTTAACTTTAAACCTAATTAAGCAAGTGCCTTGTAGTGCTAGCGTATAAGAATTCTCTACCCTAACGTGGATGTCGTGTCGTAAGTGGCGACAGAGGGAAAAAATACAGCTGAGGGGGAGCTGAGTATCTTTTTGATAACTTAAAATAATAAAAAAACTTGCGGTTAATCAAATATGCTCCATATGAGGCTATCTATAGGGCTGGAATATTGTTCAAGAGTGGTTTTTTGATGGACTCATGTACGGTTTAGTTGTGAATCCGTGTACACTGAAGTAGTATGGTTGCTTGTGGAGTGCTAGGAGAAAGACCGAGGCAGTAGAAAATGTATTAAAATAAAGTTTAAGCTAGGTATAGAAAGTTAAGTTAGGACTGGTTCAGCAATGGACTGATCGTTTGTTATGTTAAAATATAATGATACGCGCGTGACATGAGTAGGTACGTCGCGTGTAAGCAATAATGAACCATTCATGAAACCGAACATTTGGAATGATGATGATATAACTTGGATGTCCTCCTGCAGACCGAATTTCGATCACGGCGGCCAGTCTCGACATATACTAGCCATCGGTGCAGGACAGAATTATAGTGCTAAAGTGTATGCGCAAGCACAGGTGCACTCTCTATTCCCTCACTCTCATAATCCGATGGGACGGTAAACCGACACGACCGGAGAGAGAGATCAGGCGCAGGACCAACGGCTTTACGTGCTTTCCGAGGCACGGTGGTGAGATACCGCCAACTTCGTGACTGCGGGCAGCTACTGAAAATTTCTTAACGGAAAAACTCAATAACTGATTTCTTGGTTCGACCCGAGATTCGAACCCAGGACCTCATGATCAGCAGTCGCACTGCTACAACCACTAGACCAACGAGGCAGTCAATCCATCCACTACAGCCTATAAAAATCCACTGCTGAACATAGACCTCCCCCATAGTTTGCCTTGTAGGGGGTTGCCATAGTTGCTACGCTTGGCAAGTGGGTAGGCAGCCGCAGTTTTTTTATTATATAGAGCTGTTATAAGGAAGATGCTGCGAAACATCTCCTGTTTCATTTTACCTCTGTCGTCTCTTACATCACTCTCACAACGATATGGGCTAGTGGATATTCTACGCCGCCAACACGTAATGTACTTTATATGCTATAATTACTAAATACATATTTTTCTAAGTTTTAACTTTTCTGTATTATATATTATTATATATATTTTGTCTAGTAATGGACATTTAGATTTTTTCCAATTTATAAAAGATAGAAGATAAGTACGCTCAAGTGGCAATGGGCCGGTCATATCGCTCGAAGAACCGATAACCGATGGGGAAGAAAGGTTCTCGAGTGGCAGTCTCGTACCGGTAGGCGTAGTGTAGTGCGACCCCCCCATAGATGGAGTGACGACCTGGTAAGACATGCAGCAAGTCGATGGATGCAGGGCTCAGACTTGTTTGTGGCTTCCTTGGGGGAGGCCTATGTTCAGCAGTGGACTTGTGAAGGGCTGTAATGATGATGATGATGATGAGAAGATAAGTTTGTCTATACTTTGTGTATTTTAGCATGTGGTTTATGATATGTAAACATCTTATGATCGCACTTAAATAGCTTCTATTGTATTATGTACATTTGACTATCTGATATCATATATTTTTATATCATTTTTGCCACAAGCATCGTTGAATGAGGTGAGATTGATGGGTATTTATACTTGTAACATAAACTTAAAAAAGGCAGCCTAAAATAGAAAGGATATTATAGCTGCTAAATCTACTAATATATGTAGTATAGAAAAAAACTTAGCTTTTTAGCCCCATATTTCTAACCCTATTTTTCTTACTTTACTGTACGAGTACTGCGCTTGCGGTTAAATAATGGAATTGAAAATGGCGTCGTTTCTAGTGGGGGTCCACACTTCACTTTTTTCTTTCCCGTCGGTTGTAGATTCTTCGAATTATTCGGTCAACCCATTGTCACTTCAGCTTACTGATCTGTTGGGCTATGTCGTTTACTTTGGTTCTACTGCGGATATTCTCATTTCGAAGTCTATGGACGTAACGAAACTTCGAGCATATATCCCGCCATAGCTCACAAAATTTTATTATTGTTAGTCATCAGGAAGATTATGTTGCCAATCTCCTGTTTTACTGTCGACGTTTAACCCCATGGGCTGATATGGTTATTGGGTTCTCTTATGCCGCCAGTACAGAAGAAGTTAAGATAATGATAAATTTAAATAATATATCGCTCATACCGTTGACACATATGTTTGCTACCCATGTGTTAAAGTACAACGCGCAATGCATCATAGAAACATGAGTGTTGCATGCATATGTACTTAATTACTATTCTTACTTGAACAGTTGTATAAACAGGTGAATTTCATTGTATACAATGACATTGTAAGAGAGAAAGTGATAGCTACTGATCATTTAACAAATAAAGTAATAATTCAATTTTTTTTTATAGAATAAGAGTGAAAAATGAAAAACTACATTTATCCTCAATTAAGAATCAAAACGCAGATGCGTTGTCATCCCTGAGGACTAAAATGAATTGCCTTGATTCCAGTAGAAAGGGTCTCCCATAAGAAACACAGTAGCACTAAACCGACATTACACGCCGGAATTCAGCGAGAGCCGATAGACTATAATATATATATATATATATATATATATATATATATATATATATATATATATATATATATATATTGGATAGTCTACCACATGGAGTATTATAATTTGTAAATGAGTTTGTTATATTAATTAAAATCATAAATGAAAATGTAAAAGTGAAAGCAAACAAAATTAGCAAGAGTCATACCTACACATGTACTTCCACAACATTTTTCTTTGACTGAAATTTACAATAAAAACATTCTGAGATACTTTCCATTATTGTAACTTTACACAAGACAATCAAGTAATCACTATATACTTGCCTTTTTGTCAATTGAAGTGTCACCTGTCTGGGTGTTAAATATTATTTGAGATATTGAACGGTAACAAGCAATGCTTAGAAATATTGTAAAGTAGATAACAGGACAAATATAAATAATAAATAAAAATAATACCCACTTCTCTTTCTTATTCTTCTTGGACTTTTTCTTCTTAGATTTCTTTGACTCTGGCGATGCACTGGAAACACGTTAGAAACATTGAGCACAATAACACAACAATATTTGTAGCCGAAAGGTAAATCTTAACATAAAATTTAACAAATATTAACAATAAAATTAGCTTAATGACTCTGGTAGTCTGAAGGAAAGAGCAGGTCAAAGACCAGCCGTAGACATGAGGTTCCAAGGCTCAGTAGTACACAGTTATTTTATTGACTGTTGTATATTTCGTTGGTAGTAATTTAGGTAATGGTAGTTATTTCTTATTGTTTACGATTGTTTTTAAAATCATTATTGTTCATATTTCATTACAAAACAATTTCATTTCGAATGAAGCCTTACACATAATAAATACAATTGTTGATATAAAGCAAATAACCATACTTATTTTTTTTTAAATATTTATTAATATTACAACACAAAACTAGAAAATTTGAAGTTGATAGTGTTAAAAGCTATTAACGAACGTTTGTAAATATTAATGTTTGTTCATTAAAATAGAAATTATGTGTAGAGTGTGTACCTTCGTTTCTTTTTCTTTTTTGACACATGCGTATCCCGTTCTTCTTTTTCGTGACTAGGTGTTCTCACAAGCGGATATCGCTTCGCCTCCTCCCTTGCGCGACGCTCTGGGTCCAAGCTGGTCCCCTCCACGAACCTCGGCGATATACCAAACGCATCTCGGAGCCTTGCGTTCTTCTCTTGTTGCGCTTCAGCGACTGCGTGCGTTTCGCGAACGCTGCCGATGCAAACGTTACATTTAAGATGGCTGACAAATTGACCTTGTAGATTCTGGTGAAGATATCTTTTAAGTTTTAAAATGACTATTAAAACTTTTTATTTGCTATCAGTAATTTTAATTGGACATAATCCTTTCATCCTATAATGTTTATACATCTCATCTAGCATTATTAATTCGTCCTACAAAATCGATTGATAAAAATAGTGTAGCATTCATTTTATTTAATTAACGTTCTAGAACGCATATTTACCTGATTAGCACCTAAGTGCGCTAAAAATACGAAACATTAGTTTAGAAAAAAATTTTCAATAGCTAATAAACTCGAAGACAGGTACGAGGTACATTAAATATCGTAACAATTTATACCGTTAACAGTGACTGTTAGCTGAAATTAAGCGTTAAATCGTTTAGATCTTGCAGATTAGCCGTACGTGTTGGATATTATTACAAATTAGCAAATTTCCTGTAACAATAGTAAGCGACCTATATTAAGTGCTTCGAAGATTGATAAAACCTTTGCCCACCTTATGACAGAGCGCATGGATTTCCTCTCCTCCTCGAGACAGACCTGCAAATTGTTGTTAACATTGTTGCGTTCTGTAGCGCAACTGCATCGGCAACAACACGAGTGCCTCAGTCCAGCGAGGAGGGTTCTTAGTGCCGGCTCTAAGGAGTCCGTCACATGAGACGGGCCTTGTTGTGGCATGTTCGAGGGCACGATAGCGGCCTCCGGGTTAGGATCGTGAGAGGACGCGCGCGGTCTCCTTTGCGGGCCCGCCAGCACGGCTTGAAACGTGCCCCGCCACAATCGTTCAAAGACTACTCTGTTGTTTTGATCGCGACGCGTCGCCCTGCCCCTCTGCATCCTAAACTACTTAAATCTAATGGAAGACTTGGTTTCTTAAGGCTAAATAAAACTAAGGCGGTTTTGGAAGACTGTGTTATAAGAGGGCTGGGCGTATGGCTACATTTCGGGGCGGCCGGCGGCGGGCCGGCGGCGCTACTGAGGGCGGTGAGATAACAGGAAATACGCCGACGCGCGCAGCCTGCGCAAATGACGCATCTCCGTTCTACGACGCCCTCCCTTTTCATAATCAACCTTTGTGTTGTAACGAAGGTAATTTCGTAATACTGATTAACTCATATTTTCATCACTAAAACGTTAATAATACGTTATTGTCATCGATGGTTAAGTTTTCAATGACATTTAATTTCAATTATGGCTTTAATTAATTAAGCGCATAATGCGTTGATACGAAATTTTACGCATCATTAGTTTCGCACGATGGGAAGTAATTGATCCCATTCTGCAATGGCTAACATAAGGAAAGAAAACGATTCAAATATTTACGCATTTTAAATGTATATGTATAAATGAATCTTAAAATATTGATAGTTACGTTAAAAAATACTCGTAGCGCTATTAAGATTATTAGATGTTTATTACCAATCACGTTAACCTTTAAATATAACTCAAAATATAAAGTTATTCTTGGCGGCTATTTTAGTACAAACGTCCTTGATAACAATTCTAAAACATCCCAGTTATTAAATAGGTACTATGTCTGAGTACAACACATTACACACAAACATCAACGTACTTACATTTAATATTTACCAATTTTGATAAAAATGAATTACTGACAAAATTTGAGGAGTTAGGATTTTGTACCACGCTGCAACCATCATTCAAATAAAGTCACAATCCCAAACTAAACAAATAACTTGGTATAATGACAAACGGTTTTACATTTAGCTTATATAGAACAATTTAAACTAAAATTTAAAAGAAATTAACCGGCAAATTATATTACGACCTGAAAATAATGTGAATGAAAATTATACTCAATTTCATAATATTGTGACAGATATTTTAAATAAATGCATACCGAAACGTAAAATTAAACTAAAAACTAACAATAAAAAATACTGGCTAACAATTGGCATAACAGAATCTTCAAAAAATAAATGACTCCTAAAAATACTATCAAAAACAAAAAGCGAAGTTCTACCTGAGTACTATAAATGCACCCCCACTATTCACTGGAAATGTTTGAGCTAGAAACGATTTACAAATGTAGTCGAATAGTCTTCAAAAACACAACTTTTTAGAGTCGCTATCAATTGCCATTAGCATAATGTGGCTTCAATGGTTTTTTAGAAAATTATTTGTTAAGCATAACATACACTAAGTATCTTTTAAATAATAGCAATTTTATATACGAATGCGCAATAAAATATTCATATTCACGACGCTTCGGTATCGAGGCTTTTTCTACGTTGAATAGGTTTTTCTTTTTAATGATGCTTAAGTAATAATACGTCGTTAATAACATTATTACTATAGGGGCATAAATGACTCCTGGCAGTGTAAAAATTGTGATAATATTTTTAGTGTTATATTTCTTCGTCACGACTTGCGCATAATGTCAAGGAATGCACGCTACGACTTAACTGTACACGCATTCTAATTTATAACAAGCTAGAGAAACATAGATATCATAATTAAATTATGACGATCCAGATTATGTGTGTGCCACTGCAGACTACTTACGGATTGTATACCTACTCTTGGAAGGTGACACATTATGAAAGCCAGCAACTGGTATTAAAAATACCTTTATTTATTAAAAGGAATTGCGGTTTATATCTACCTCTTAATTTTTCTTAGGAAAAAATGGGCCAAATTAAGAGTACCCTTACCGACAAGCATGTATGCGTAGGTATATGGATGTGGAGGAGGCGAGAGATGTATGTCAGGATCGTGCTAAATGGAAGTCTGTAGTGTCTGTCTACCCGTCTGGGTGACAGGCGTGAGTGTTTATGACTATGATATATCTACCTACGTAACACTAACAATGCAGACTCATTCAACGTGTTCAAAAAGCCCGATCTTGGTTTGTGTTGTGGTGCTAAGGTGACAGTGAATCCCAGAATTTGTGAGTGACTGTTGTCGTTTTATACCTTTTTTTTATTTGTATAGATTTTTCGCGTCAAAACGGGATTCTGAATGTGTGTGGCTGACCCGTTCGGAATTCCGTATGCATATGACCGACCTAAGGCCCGCCTCATACTACATACGGAATTCCGAAACGAATCAAACGGATCGGCCACATACATACGGAATCCGTTTTGTCCGAAAAATTCCGTACGGAGAACTACCGTAGGTGTGTGACGGGTCTTTTATTTTATATGGACTTGCTGCGATCGGAATTCCGTATGTATATGTATGTAGCCGGCCTAAGTAACAATAACTAAGCAACATATACAGTGCATGTGTGCGGGGTCCAGCAGATTTTTACAGGTTGTTATTAAAGAAAAAAGATGTGTACGCGAGTGTCAAAGCTTGAGTGATTTCGGCATCGCTTGAAATATATGTGTTGATCGACTTCTCCGATCGACCGATCTTATTTTGTTGGTCTGATATTGTAACCTAATTTAGTTTTATGGTCAATAAATCTATCCGTAATTAATTGCGTGTATTCCAGAGCCGGAATTTTATTAGTTTATCACCTTGTAAATTAATTAGAGAAAAACGATCTGTTATATATCAAACCCAACTTAATTAAACAAACACTACCTTCTATGATATACATATTGATATTTTTCATGCGGATTTTATCTAACAAATATTGTTATTAATATTTGTAATGAATTTACTATTAATAGTAACAAAGTAGTAGGGAATATACAACCACTTTTACTAATTACACAATTCATTCATGACCAATTATCAATGCTTTTTTTGTTTGCACATAAACATAAAAGATTGAATTTTAAGCCCAGTATGTTGCCTGGTTAGATACGAGATCATTTTAAAATAATATCGCTCATAGAAATAATGTTTTGCTGCCAAAACCATTAATTTTACACAGTTGTAAAATTGCCTGTCTTATAGTAAAGGTTATTGAATGTAGCAGGTGTCACATGAGAATTAGCAGAGTCTACCTCGTTTCTACCAACGTCCATTAAATATTCGTATTTAAGTATTTGTGTCAGAGGCATAGAGGTTGAAATACCAAAATCCTATTACATCAGGGCATTTGCAAAATTTTAGGTGGATAACCTTCTATTCTTTCTTTTCGTTTCTCTTTTTCTTTTAAACTTTATCTCCAGATTAGCATTTTCTCCTATCTGCAGTTTACATACATCCATACCCAGAATAATTATTTGTAGGCCATACAAATACTTGTTCCATGCGGGATTCGAACCCGCGGCCACCAGCACTGCAACTGATTGCTAAACCACTGCACCGCGGAGCCGTCAGACACGAAATCCACTTACGATCAGGCCGACTGTGTGCTTGTTTATATAAGAACAACCAAAATAATTATCCTCGTAATATACATAACTAAAAAAAATGCGGTTGCTAACCTGCCTAAGCGTGGCAATACTATGGCTACATCCACCACACCACACCACAAGATCCGTATGTATGAGGCAATGTATGGGGGAGGCCTATGTTCAACAGTGGACTTTCACAGGCTGTGATGAATGATAAGTAGGTCATCATGTCTTACATTTACGCGAACACTACACATTGAATAAAACTTTTCATACGGATCGCGTTTAATTACTTATTTTTAATTTCCGACGAAACGTCAGGAATTAAAAACTATTTCCGTGGAACCCTAATTAATTTTTTTAAATTAAAGTAGCCTAAGGCGCGGTTTACATTTTGAGAAGTGACAAGTGCGAGTGGCAAGTGAGAAGTGGAAAGTGAGAAGTGACAAATGCGTATTTTATTTCCACTGATCACTTGTAATTATTTTTTTTAAATTAAAGTAGCCTAAGGCCCGGTTTACATTTTGAGAAGTGACAAGTGCGAGCGGCAATGACAAGTGACAAGTAGCAAGTTCGTGTTCACACATGCGGCAATTGGATGTCATTATTATGTGAAATCTTCGAGTGTGAAATTGGGTTGGTAATTGTCAAAGAGGCGCTAGCACAGCTTTAAAGTTTAAAACTGGTATCTCATCATACAATTTTACCTTTTT